TTTTTTTTTTTTTTCTTCATTTACAGGAGGAAAATGTTTTACAGGGACCGTTGTCTCGAAATGTACAGATTTTGAATACAAACATTACTTACAACTTTCTAGTCAAACGCCGTCAAGATGAGTGTCCAAGGGAAAGGTTTCCCTTTGGACCTAGGGGGAAGCTTTACTGAAGATGCACCGAGGCCCCCGGTACCCGGGGAGGAAGGAGAACTGGTCACAACAGATCCAAGGCCGTTCATCCACAGTTACTGCCCTGCAAAAACTGATGGGATCAAAAACGAGACTTCAACAGCGACGCCGAGGCGTTCCGACCTCGACTTGGGCTACGAACCTGAAGGCAGCGCTTCACCCACTCCGCCATATTTAAAATGGGCTGAATCTTTGCATTCTTTGTTGGATGACCAGGATGGGATTAACTTGTTCAGAACTTTTTTGCAGCAAGAGAGTTGCGGGGATTTGCTCGATTTCTGGTTTGCGTGCAGTGGCTTTCGGAAGCTGGAGCCTAGTGACTCCAAGGTGGAAAAAAGGCTCAAACTGGCCAAAGCGATCTACAAAAAATACATTCTAGATAATAATGGGATCGTCTCCCGGCAGATCAAACCAGCAACGAAAAGTTTTATTAAAGATTGTGTGCTGAGGCAGCAGATTGAACCTGACATGTTTGACCAGGCCCAAACGGAAATCCAGTCCATGATGGAGGACAACACTTACCCTGTGTTCCTTAAATCGGATATCTATTTAGAATATACTACAATAGGCGGGGAAAGTCCTAAAATCTACAGTGACCATAGCTCGGGTTCTGCAACGGGGAAGGGTCCAGCTGGATATTTGCCAACTCTTAATGAAGATGAGGAATGGAAGTGTGACCAAGCAGTGGATAATGACTGTGAAAGAGAATCTGTTTCTTCCAACAGAATTAATCAGAAACTAATTTTAGAAGCTGCGTCGCATTGTCCAGCACCATCTAGACGCCTGAGTGATGGAAGAGAGTTTAGGTATGTGTGCATTTAGTGGTGTGTTTACTGTTGTCATTCTGTATTGTGTAGTTTTTCATTTCTTGGAAGAGACACTTGATACCTTGACCATTCAGGGCAAAATGACGGCCCCCCTGAACCCCTAATACTTCCCTTGCCTCCTTCGACACCCCTGCCTTCATCACAGCCAGCAATAATACCCGATGCTTCTTGGCCGACTGGGGTATGTGACTTCCTCCTCTGTGACCGTGCTTGGGTCTAACAGCCGATCGTTAGGACCGAATACTATCACGTGACCGAAGGAGTGACATCACTGCTCACCTTAGATTCTGTAGCATAGACATAGCGAGGTGTATTTATCAAAACTGGAGCTGACAAAATCTGGAGCAGCTGTGCAGGGTAACCAATCAGCTTTTTTTTTCATGTTAAAATCTTTAAGCTGCCCATACACCTTATAACCATCGCACGACTTTCGTTGTGCGATGGTTGTAAGGTGATTAAAATTTCGTACGATCTGCCCATCTTGGACAGGCAGATCGTACTTGCGATCATCGCAAGCCCTCCCCGCTGAGGGGAGGGCTTGCGATGATTGCAGTGCTAAGTGGGCAGTGTGCGATTGCGCACACCGGCCTGTGCGGCATTCGTCTTCCGAGCACGCCACCAACCCGCCAAAAATCTTACGATGCATGCTCGGAAGACGAAAGTCATGCGACCTTACAGTAGAAGCGGTCGCACGCTGCCCATACACCTGCCGATTATCGTATGATAATTGGCAGGTGTATGGGCACCTTTACTGAATAGAGAAGCTGATTGGTTGCCATGCACAGCTGCTCCTTTTTAATACATTCCCCCCAATGAATTCCAGATTTTTTCTGACACGTGGTGTATGCTGGGTTTTTTTATTTAGAAGTATGGAAACCAGACAAAGGCCAGTCCCATTTTCATAAAAAGTCTAGGAATGTCGGCCTACAGTTTTCTCTCTTGTACTAAAGCAAACTTAAAAGAGAACTATAGGCAAACCTTTCTTGGCTGTAGTTCTCTTTAGGGTTACAGGAAAATATTTACTATGTTCTCCTGTGACCCAAAACTCAGCAAAAAGCAGGCTACTGCCCGCTATGTGTTGAGAGTGCAGAGCTGTGCTGCAGCCAGAAAGGATCCCGACAATATTGTCTGGATTCACCCAGCTGCCTGGTTGACAGGTGGCTCTTCCTCTCTAGAACCAGAGCTAGCTGTGTCCGCCCCTGTCCGTTCCTCCAGTCAGCTTTGGAGGGGGGAATTCCTGACAGTCATCGCTCACTGCAGGGAGAAGATCGTGAACTGACCAATCGGCAGTTTGTGATTGCTCAATTCTCAATCAATAGAGCCAAAGTATGACAGCTGCAGTGTCACTGGTCGGCTCCAAGTATGGGGGTGAGTGTGTTTCACTCATCCCATAGTTTTCCTTTAAAAATTAAAGCTGAAACGCTCTTGCTTCTTTGCCACTGCTCAGGGATGCTTCTGTTTGAGGCAGTAATTGCAGAGTCGGCAAATCATTTGGGCTAGGAAGAAGACGGTGACAACGAATAGATTAATTACTTCACAGTTATAGGCGTTTGTTTCATATGAGCACCAGTATAAAATTGGTCAGCTTAAAGTGACATGAAATTCAGGACTTAAAGCTTAAAGCATTCAAGTACCTTAACTATTACCAAAAATGTAACGTATTTGTGTATCACTCGGCTGTAGATCCTCCAATCATCTCTGAATTGGTGCTGACATTGTCCTTCCTTCTGGAGGGGGGCTATCTTTGTTCCCCATGGTCCCTGTGTGTGTTGTAAAGTAGTCACCACTCCAAGCTTGCTCCTGTGATGGACTACATTCTCATATCTAGTTTACTAATTTGCATTGAGATTGTAGTTCTTTTTTAAGATTTAAAGAGGTACTTTAACAATATCTTCAAAATAACAACAAAGGCACATTTTAGAAATGTTTAGTATAACAAACTACAAACATACTTCTAGATAATTGCCGGCTTTTCATTTTTTGCATACCTTATTTCTCTTTTCTTAGCTCCTGCGCACATGCCGACACCTGACTCTATTCCCGGCACCTTACAGATGCCAGGAGTGTAAATGCATCTGTGCTGCATTTATAGGCTTTGTATACAGAAATCAAAATTTCTAGGAGTCAGAATAAAGAGTTGTTAAATATTTACCCAAACACTTAGTCATCATGTTTCTGAACTTCTTGTCCAGTACAAGGTCACAAGGAACAGGGCAGTCTCCGGCAGATGTCCATCTCCTAACTTGGAGGGGTAGCAGGGGAATGTCTTGCCATGCTGTGCCTTTGTGTTTGTGGAGACACACACTGGCACATACAAGAGTGGCTTCATAGGACCCTGCAAGGGAAAGGAGCCACCCTAAAACAGGATATTAGGGCCAGTGCTCAGTGGGCCAGCTGATTCTTCAGGAAACTAAAACACATCAATGAGCAGAATACATTGTAAGTGATTTAATCGGCATTTCAGATGGCTCAAAAACATTTTAATATAACTTTAATTTACTCAGCGTTACTATTGTTCACCTCAAGTGTAGGTCCGTAGGGGTGTGTGTGTTTCCTGGCTCGGACGCAGACAGGATCCAGCCTGTCAGCATACGAGTACGCTCACCCGCATGGACGTTCAGGGCGGGTGAGCGTAGGTGGGGGGGGGGGGGCGAACGGCCG